ACTGCCATCGAGTCAATTCCAATTCTTAGTGACCCCCATTTGGACCTGGAAAGAAAGGCCTACAAACTGAACACCTACCCCAGGGAGATGCACCCCTTAGAATAGTCAACTGTGATAGATCAGAGGGCAGCATCTGCATAGGGAGAAAGTTACACAGATAGGAACACATAGGTAAGAAGGACACAGGGAAGCAGTAGTCACAAGGAGGACGTGGGAAGAAAGCTGTTTATTGCTGGAATTGTAATTGGTGCCAAGAAACAAAATACATACTTTAAACCATTGAGTGTAAAAGGAATCTGCTTTGTAAATTTGCACTCAAATCCCAATAAAAATTTTTTTTAGAAAAATAGAACCAATAGTATTGAAGGAAGAAGTCCAAGCTGCATTGAAGGCACTGACAAAAAAACAAGGCTGCAAGAATCAACAGACTATCCATTGTGATGTTTCAACAAATGGATGCAGCGCCAGAGGCACTCATTCATCTATGCCAAGAAATTTGGAAGACAGCTACCAGGCTAACTGACTGGAAGAGACTGATATTTGTGCCCATTCCAAAGAAAGTGATCTAATAGAATGTGGAATTTATTAAACAATATTATTAATATCACATGCAAGTAAAATTTTGCTAAAGATAATTTAAAAACAACTGGAGCAGTATAATGACAAGGAACTTCCAGAAATTCAAGCAGGATTCAGAAGAAGGTGGAATGAGGGATATAATTGCTGATGTCAGATGGATCTTGGCTGAAAGTAAAGAATACCAGAAAGATGTTTACCTGCATTTTATTGACTATGCAAAGGCATTTGACCATGTGGATCATAACACATTATGGATAACAATGCAAAAAAAATGGTAATTCCAGAATACTTAGTTGTGCTCATTAGGAACCTGTACATAGATCAAGAGGCTGTCATTCAAAAAGAACAAGGGGATACTGCATGGTTTAAAATCAGGGTGGGTGAGCAGTAGTGTAGTATCCTTTCATCATATTATTCAATCTGTATGCTGAGGAAATAATCCGAATGTGGCATCAGGATTGGTGCAAGACTGATTAACAACCTGCAAAATGCAAATGACACAACCTTGCTTGCTGAAAATGAAGATGACTTGAAGCACTTATTGAAGAAGATCAAAGACTATAGTCTTCAGTATAGATTACACCTCAACATAAAGAAAACAAAAATCCTCACAGCTGGACCAATAAGCAATATCACAATAAATGGAGAAAAGTTTGACATTGTCAAGACTTCATTTTCCTTTGATCCACACTTAACACCCATGGAAGCAGCAGTCAAGAAATCAGACGTCATATTGCACTGGGCAAATCTGCTGCAAAAGACCTCTTTGAAGCATTAAGGACAAAAGATGTCACTGTAGTGGTTATGTTTCTGTGTCAACTTGGCTGGGCCTGGTTGAGTGGCTGGGCAGCTGGTGGTAGTTATTCCCCATAATGAGATTGGCAATCAACTCCATGGTGGGATCTACCACAAGCAACTGAGTAGCTGCCTTTGGGATGTGGTCTGCTTCTCGTATATAAGGAGCAGCGTTGGGAATGGTTTCTAGTTTATGGCACTTTGAACTTGGACTTCTAGCCTCCAAATTGTGAGACAATAAACTCCTGTTTGTTAAGGCCATCCCATTTGTAGTATATTCTTGTCAGAGTGGCACTAGGTAACCAGAACAGAATTTGGTACTGAGAGTGGGGTGCATCCTTGACCCGAGATCCTGGCAGAGAGACCCCGGCATATGGCATGAGAGACGGCAGGAGCAGAACCAAGAGACTGGCAGAGAGACCAGCATGAAAAACGGCAGCAGCAGAGCCCAGAGACCGGCATTAAACAGCAACAGGCTTACCAGCCCACGGAGGAGAAAGCCGGGTGCGATTGGGTAGGCAGATTCCTGGTGGAGTGGGTTGCCTTTGGACATTAATTGGTGGAAGAGACCAGCACAAGATGGAGTAGCAGCTTGGCCAGCCTATGGAGCAAGAAAACTGAATGCTTTTTTAGGGGGCAGGAAGATTTCTGTCCAAGTGGGTTTCCCTTGGGCATTAATTGGCAGAAACAGAGAGACCAAGGAAATGGAAGCAGCGCTGCCTCACACTGAAAGGGTAGGACCATGTCCTTTGGGGGTGGAACTACCACAGCCCGCTAGGTTTCAAAGAGCCAGGCCTTCACCAACTTGGTTCTGGAGTGTGGGGCTGCTCATTCATGTGAGCCAGTGGGATGTAACCAAAGCTGCTGCCCAAGAGTGAGGGGGCAGGGCTGCCATGCCCAAGAGGGAGAGGAACAGGGCCCTGCCAGGCCAAGGGGGTAAGGTCACCATTCAGGAACTAGGGGACTGGAGCCACCTGTACAGTGGAGACCTGTACAGATACCACCCATTGAAGATCTGTACAGATGCTAAATTGACAAGGGGTGGACTTGTGGTGATTATGTTTCTGTGTCAACTTGGCTGGGCCTGGCTGAGTGGCCGGGCAGCTGGTGATAGTTATTCCCCATGATGAGACTGGCAATCAACTCCGTGGTGGGATCTACCACAAGCAGCTGAGTAGCTGCTTTAGGGAATGTGGTCTGCTTCCTGTATATAAGCAGAAGCCTTGGGAATGATCTCTAGCCTATGGCATGCTTGGACCCTGCATGTGTCGTTGTTCAGCAGCCTGCCATGCTCTGCCAAACTTTGGACTTACAACGGACTTAAATTAATGGTCTGCTGTGTGGTTTGGTAACATCGGGACTATGCCTTTTTCTTTGTCAACCTTGGTCTTGTTAGCCTCAGCAGCCAGTAGCTGCCTGAATGAAGAGATGCCTCTAGCTTCAGTAGGCCAGGAGCAAGAGGCAGAGCTGAAGCCCAAGGTTGAAGGGCTTTCACCCAGCCCCTAGAGCCTGGCACTTGAACTTGGACTTCTAATCTCCCAAACTATAAGAGAATAAACTCCTGTTTGTCAAGGCCATCCCATTTGTGGTATATTCTTGTCAGAGCAGTACTAGGTAATCAGAACAGTCACTCTGATGACTAAGGTGCACCTAACCTAAACCATGGTATTTTCAATCGCCTCATATGCATATGAAAGCTGTGCAATGAATAAGGAAGACTGAAGAAGGGTTGATGTCTTTGAATAGTGGTGTTGGCAAAGAATACTAAAAGTACCATAGACTGCCAAAAGAACTAACAAATCTGTCCTGGAAGAAGAGCAGCCAGAATGCTCCTTAGAAGTAAGAATGGACAGACTTCATCTCACGAACTTTGGTCTTGTTATCAGGAGGAACTAGTCCATAGAGGATATCATGCTTCGTAAAGCAGAGGGTCAGAGAAAAATGGGAAACACTCAACAAGGTGGATTGACACAGTGACTGAAATGATGGGCTCAAGCATAGGAAGGATTGTGAGGATGGCGCAGGACCAGGCAATGTTTCATTCTATTGTACTTTAAGTTGAAGCCACCTTGAAGGCACCACCACCACTACCAACAGAAATTCACCTAGGATCCGGCCTTACCATTAGTTGTCATATTTCTTCAGTTTCTTTTAATCTTGAATATTTATTCAGCTTTGCTTGTTTTCAAAAACACTGATAGTTTTAAAAAGAGTATAGGCTAGTTTGTAAAATTTCTCTCAATTTCAGTTTATCTATTATGTCAGGATTAGATCAAGTTGATTTCTGGTAGGAATACTATATAAGTGAAGTTGTGTGCTTCTCACCAAATCACATCACGAGACACACAGTAAGTGAAGTTGTGTCCTTCTTACCAAATCACATCATGAGACACACAATGACAATTGTTTCATTAGCAATATTTGTTAACTTTGATCACTTGGTTAAGGTGGTGTCTGGCCCACTGTAAACTACCCTTTTTCCTTTTGTGGTCAATAACAAATCTGTAGAGACATAGTCTGAGGCTGTGTAAATAATCTTTTCCATATTAAACTTTCTCCCAATGGTTTTAACATTCATTGATGATTGTTGAGAAAACAATTATGTCTATGATGGTTGCAAAATAGAGATTTTTTTTTCTAACTCTCTTGTTCTTTCTGTATTTATTATTTGACATTCTATTGGAAGGAAGACATTTTCCTTCTTTCTCTATATTACTATTTAATCGGGGGTGGGGATGGGGGTGAATGCTTAAAAAAGTAACAGGCTTTCATTCTGATTGGAGTGTAGTGAGTTCCCATTCTCTCTTAATGTGCTCAGCCTGGCTTCTCTGTAACTCAAACCGTCATTCTTCTGCTCATGGCTTTACCCTTGTGCTCAGATGACGTGTATGGGCGATGGGCACAGGGCTGTGACTACAGAACTTCAAAGCCACACTTAACTACTTTCTTGTGCAGATATTCGAAAATAGCACTCCAGTTTCTACAGTTTGGGAGGAAAATGCTCCCGTATGCCTATCTTTCATCAGTGGATTAAAAAAATACTCAGATTGAACCCCTAAATATGATTAAGAATCACCGGAGACGGGGGCGAAGGGTGGAAGAGTGTTGTTTAAAATGTGGATTCCAGGGTTCTGCCCAAAGATTCTGATTCAGTAGCTTTGGGTTAGGGCCAGAATCAAAATTCCAGATAGTCTGTGGATCAAATTTTGATAAACATCAACAAATTAATGGAAGAAGTCGGCGCCACTTGGCAACTTCCAGCGTGCTCGCATAGGTCTTCAGAAACCATCCTTCGGTAGATTCTATATACAAGTGGGGAGGTGAAGACAGGTGGAAATATCCTCCCAGCTCTTTGACCTCGCTTTGGGCAAAGCCGCGGGACAAGGCCCGCCTCCCAGGCCGGCTTGTTTGCTCCAGGGCAGGCGGAGCAGGAAGGCGGCCCGCTTCTTCGCGCGCCCGCCCTCCCTTCCTCCTTCATTCAGGCGGAGCTGCGGCTGATTCCCATTCCCCCAGCCCCCAAGCCAGGTGCTTAGTCACCGTGAGGGTGCGTTTGCCCGGGGCCTGCGCCCCTTCCTTCTCCGGGGACCTGCCCCGGGCCGCCATCCCCGTACTGCACTTCCGCGTGCATGGCCCTGCCCCAGGCCCTGAGCGCGAGCGTCTGGCCGAGCTGGCGGCGGGCTGCGCGCGCCTCTTGCGGCTTCCTGCTGCCACATTCCGGGCCCCTTGCCACCCCGCACGACTTCTCCCGCTTCATGGCGAGCAAGCAGGAGCCGCAGCAGCACTGCAGGCCGTCGGCCACCGGCGCCGTGACCTCCTACGACTACCTGGTGATCGGGGGCGGTTCGGGCGGGCTGGCCAGCGCGCGCCGAGCGGCGGAGCTCGGCGCCAGGGCCGCAGTAGTGGAGAGCCACAAACTAGGCGGCACTTGCGTGAGTACCGGGTCCCGCTGAGCGCTTCCCTCTTTGTCTCCGTAGCGCTGCGTCCTGCAGCCTTGTTTTTTCCTCGCTGCTTCAGCGACAGCCTGTGCTCTTTCCTAATGCGATCTTGTCCGTCCAGGAGGGAAGGATGGGCTCCTGGCGCTGCTCTTTCCGCTTTTCCACCCCGCATCTGAGGACTAGTCTCTTTTGGGTTAGGACCCCACCAAGTTCGCATGACAGAAGTGTATTTTGCGAGCCTGCCGGTGGCCTGCAAACTAATCCTTAGTCCTGAAGATTGTTGTCTGTTCGTAGCTCTGAACGCAGTCCAAGTTGTAATATTAAAGCCATAGGTTATTAAGTCTGTCTTAACTTTCGTGCATCCTCAAGGTGGGAGAGTAAAGATATTTCATGCTTGATCTTGTCACTGGATGCATGAAACATAAAATTGCAGCTGGGCTATGTGTGTGGGGATACATGCCCTTGAGGAATGCGATTTCTGCTCCTGTCTTCAATTTCTAGGGCAGAATAACTTATGACACTAGATTTCAACCTTGGCTGCACACTAGAATCACCTGAGGGGTTTGAAAAATTCTGCCGGTGGCCAGCTCCCAAGGCTTCTGATTAATTGGTGTGAGTCGTCCTCTGACCTTGGGGATTTTTAAAAGTTCTAGGGTGATTCTGGCATTTGACTGCTAACCAGAAGGCTGGTGGTTCAAACCCACCAGGCCTCTCCTCAGAAGGACGATTGGGCAATCTACTTCCATAGAGATTTGTTGTTATTATGTGCCGTCGAGTCGGCCCCGACTCATAGTGACCCCTCCTTGGGTTTCCGAGGCAGTATCACTACGGAAGTAGGATTGCCCAACCTTCCTTCCGAGGAGTTGCTGGTGGGTTTGAACCGCCAGCCATCTGGTTAGCAGGCAAGTGACTTAGCCACTATGCTACCAGAGCTCCCTAGAGATGGTGCCTCGGAAATCTAAGGAGGGGTCTCTGTGAGTTGAATCGACTCCACAGCAGTGAGCTTTTGTTTGTTTTAGGGTGATTCTGAATACAGAAAGAAAAAAAATCCCTCTTGTTTGGATTTTGACATCTTAAGCCAGAAGATTAGATTAAGAATATTCAGGTTGAGGGGTGCACTAAGAGGCCCCCAGGGCAACTGGTGAGAACACTTGATCCCTTCTCACCCTTGTGCTTCTACTTTTTTTCTGTTTTCTTCCTTCCCTATTTATGTCATAATCTGCCTGTAGCATCTGCTGTTATTGCGTTCCACAGGTATTATTCAAGAGGGGCTGACCCCTTGAGTAGTGTGTTCTTTTAACCCTTTCAAGACCAAATTATTTTCTGTTTTTAATTTTTTTGCTGAAGCCATTTGTTTTCAGTAATGGAAATTTTGAAAGAAATGGAAAATTTTTTTCTGATATGGATTTTAATAGTGGGACATATATGTCCCAAGGGGGTCTCTAGTGCTTGGGTTGTGGGAAGAGGCCCCTTTCTTCAAATTCATGCAGTTACACTGGTCTCCACCAGATGGCAACACACACTAAAAGTGGGATGACAATCTGCCACTAAACCCCTAAATTGGAAAATATATGTGGGCACTATATGTCCCACAGGTCAGGAAAGGGTTAAAGAATTATCTATGTGTGATCAAGTTGACAATAGCAACTTGAAAGATTAGATGAGAAGCTTAGGGGGGGCAGTGTGTTTGTGTTAATGATGGTAGAATAGTTTGGAAAAGGATATTGCACAATTTGAAGAATGTTAGCAGTGTTACTGAATTAAACTTGTAGAAATTGTTGAAGTGGTGTATGTTTTGTTATATTTACTTTTCTCCAAAAATAAACTTAAAAGAGGGGCTGACCCTTTTTTAGGCATCTGTTAGTGAATGTGAACACACTGAGAGATAAATTACTTCTCAGATGAGCAAAGGGCTATTGCTTTACAGAGTAGAGTGCCTGATTTTGCTTATCTTATACTCAGGCAATTTTTATTTCCATATAAACATTGATCTTTAGGAAATCCCCTGTTTAACATTAAGGCTGTTCTAAAATTGGCTTTTGGTTTGAAGTATAAAGAAGGGTGTAGGTGTAGGTTAAATATGGGAGAGAGAGAATTAATTGAAAGGACATGTGGGGTACAGTGACTTAATTAATATGGCCCTTCTAGCCATGAGTAGGAAGCTCTGGTAGCGTGGTGCCTAAGGCACTTGACTGCTAACCAGAAGGCTGGTGGTTCAAACCCACCAGCCACTCCTTGGAAGGAAGATGGGGCAATCTATTTCCATAGTGATACTGCCTCAGAAACCCAAGGAGAGGTCACTATGAGTCGGTCCGACTCAACAGCACATGACAACAGCCATAAGTAAGAAGCTCTGGTGGCACAGTGCCTAAGGCATTTGACTGTTAACCAGAAGGTTCGTGGTTCACATCCACCAGCTGCTGCATGAAGGGAAGTTGGGACAATCTATTTCCGTAAAGATTTGCTACCTTGGAAACCCAGTGGGGGTTGTTATAAGTCACAATTTTCTTGATGACGGTGAGTTTGGTTTTTTGGTTTTGCTAGGCATGGTTTGGTGCTCTGGTCGCATAGTGTGTAAGGCATTTATTTGACTGCTAACCAGAAGGTTAGTGGTTTAAACCCACCAGCCACTCTGTGGAAGAAAGACTGGACAATCTACTTCCATAAAGATTTACCACCTTGGAAATCCAAGGGGGGTCGCTGTGAGTCAGAATTGACTCGATGGCAGTGGGTTTGGTTTCATTTTTTTGGTAGGCATGGTTTGGTAACTCCAACAAAGTGATTGGGTAGGACCCTACAAATTAGGTGCTTGTGGCCCACAAGGGGATTGGACAGCTTAATAATAATGTAACTGAAGTGCATGGAACCCTTGTGGGGGTGGGACCATGAAAATAAGATGTGTGGAACCCTAACAAGGGGTTTGGTCAATTTTGCTATCCCTCTAGCCTTAAAGGGAGCCAGTCCCAGAAACAGAAAGGGGTACCTCACTATCAAGAAGAAGAGCCAGTTGTGGAGTGCATCATTTTGACCTGGGGTCTCTGCACTGAGAACCTAGACCTAGGAGGCAAAGAAAGCTGTAACACTGAAGATAGCGTGAGAAGGCAGAGCATAGGACCAGTGGATGGCTGCAGTGGTCTTGTCAAGCAAGAGTAAGAAAGCTAAGTGGCTTCATGTAGGTAGGAGGCTTTCTGGTGGAGTGGGGTGCGTCCAGGCACTTGTTGAGCAGAGCTAATGGGTTTCATAACACTTGCCTGAGCAAAGCAGAGGCCCAATTGAGGGCTGAGAAGCCTGCCTGTGGGCTTGGCCAAGAAGAAGCTTTTTTTTTTTTTTTTTAATTTTTATTGTGATTTGGATGAAATCCAAAGATTTCAGAGCACATTCATTTTCCATACAGCAGTTCATACATATTTTATTTCATGACATTGACTCCAATTCCCCACAATGTAATAGCTCTCTTCCCACTTCCTCCCTGTAGTTACCTCTTCCCTGTGTCCTTCCCTCCCATGCACTCCCCCAGCTATATCCCTATGCAAACACTGTCCTTCTGTTCTTCCATGATTGATCTCTCCAAGGAGTATATCTACCTGATATAAATGTTCACCCCCATGTGCCTGTCTGTTGTTTGGATGGAAGCCACAAGAGTGAATTCAGTTCTAGACCTGAAGGATAATAGGGGCCATAGTCTCAGGGGTCACCCTAGGCTCTATCAGACCAGCAAACCTGGTTTTTTATTTTATGATTTTGAATTTTGTTCCACATTGTTTTCCCACTCTATCCAGGATCTCCTATACTAATCTCCCTCCAAGTGGTTGACAGTGGTAGCCAGGTATCATCTAGTTCTTCTGGTCTCATGGTCATATCAGCTGAGGATCACATGGTCTACTAGTCCATTGGACTAATTGTTTCCATGCATCTTCGCTTTAGAAGAAGCTGCCTTGATTGAAGAGCTATATCCTGAGTTTTTCCTGTTACTTCCCTAATAAACCCTATGAGTGAGTATGGTCTGTGATTTCTTAGGGGCATTGCAACGACTTATCAAACCCAGCAGGGAAATAGAGAATGCTGTGGGAAGAGTGGCTGGTGTCAGAATTGGTAAAAGAGTTGGAGGGTGGAGGTGTGTCTGACCTCCACCTTACAGAAATCAAACTCAGGCTGATGTTAATCTTGATTCTCCTCCCACCTTGTGAAGTTAGAAGACCTCTGAAACCACACCACTATTTCTACAATATGAGTTTAGATTGTCCAAGGATTCTAGTAATCTGGGCTGTCCGCAGGTGCAATCATAATGTGCAATGATTTCCGAGCAAGTTGTAGGGAAAGTAGAGGCTTTCTGAAGCACATTATTTCATTTGTTCACGTATTCATTTTTTGTATCCTGCTAGGTGCTTGAGTTGGGGCAGGCAGAGGAAACGGTAGAGTTCCCTTCCCTTAAGGAACTTACAGTCTGGGGCAGGGGAGATAAAATGATGACAACCTTAAAGTGGAGTGGTCTGTCTTAATTTCCCAAGACAATAACGAATTACATTAGTTCAAATATAGGGTTGGAATTATCCTTCTGCCTGAGCAATGTGGAAAGGTATCAAGAAGGAGATGTAATATCTTTCTGAACCTTAAGAGATGAGTATCACTTTTTTGTATGATAAAATCACCAGAAAGGAGCCCTGGTGGTGCAGTCATTAAGCAGTTTGAACTGTTGAGCCCACATTTGGAAAGGAATGTTGGTGCGAGGAAGCTACCACCAACATGATAATGCAAGAGCAAAAGGAAAGTTTATTTGCTAGCTCAAGCTAGGGTCCCTGCTCTCACTGACGCAGCGGCTTGGGCAAAAGACCCCGTGGTCTTTTACTATCACATTTTTATAGGAAAAATATAGGGTGGAGTAGCACCAGAGCAAAGGGGTACAGATGATTGGTTGTTGCTAAGGGGTTTAGGGCAGGGGTCTGAGATGTTGGGGGACATGTTGGAATTCCCCGGCTTAGGGAATTATTATCTAG